TTCCCTACATTGGTACATTCAGCTTTTATTGAAGCAACATGACAATCAAAGCCTTTCGCAGAGACAGGAAACAGCAAGGATACCGATAGTCTTATACCTCAAACTCCGTAGGTATCACCCCTCTCATGATAACATCATGAGTTGGAAGTGGATATGGAGGAAGCCTCTGAAAAAGAAAAGAGATAAACTAATAACATTGTCCAAACAACCATACCAACAAAGAAATAAATAAACCGGGCTAAAATCACCTCATTAGGCTGGGCACCCCATAAAAAGAACCTCATGCGGAATTGTGGGAGGCCATATGCCCCAGCTGCCATCATTCCCATTCGCGTCTGGTAATTCATTTGGACAAGCCGACCCACTGCATAACGTCCAACGTAACCATTGACGAATTTTAGAATGTCCACAACATTCTCCATTAAGACATATTTTGGCTTCAGGTATTCCACTATATCCATATAAACGAGAAGCTGCTTGTTTTTCTCATCCGCTAATGGATTCTCTTTGTTCCTAAAGCGATTGAAACCACTAATGCCTTGGCACGGAGGTCCTCCACAAAGAACATCAGCATCTCCCTAAATCCATAAAAGCAAAATGAGGACTGATGACATTTTTGCCATAGAAGGAAAAAAGATAAGAAAACTTTGCAGAGTTGTTTTTACATGAATCTCGAAAAAAGATTAAGCATTTGATGAAATCCTGAAAACAAAAGCAACAAAATCAAGACAACTAGATAGAGCTGAATACCGGCAATGGTAGGATTTTTGAATCATATCCACGCACAACAAACTCCTTGATCCTTTCACGACAATTGCTGTTGACAGGGCAACACAAACTGACATTTAGCAAGCTACAAACATATGGAACATAAAAGCTCCTGATTTCCAATACATGTGAACATGATACTTAGTTGCTGACCTGAGTCCTTCAATTGGCTCCCAACTGTCATAAGACGGGCCATATTTCTTCCAGCGAACCTACCAAAAGTTTACAAGAGAGCGGTTTAACCTTAAGCACAAATGGGAGTTAAGCAGATCCTTGCTGAGGCTAAACTATGGAATAAACATTGAAATCTATATTCAGTAGAAATAAACCAAGGCTATGGCTGGACGAAACAGCATATACCTTCAAATATAGGCCACACTTCTTTATCCCTTTAGGATCACCATAGCAAATATCAAGTATCTTTTCCACTTCAAAAATCTCACCACCATCTTCATTTCCACTCTCATCATCAACATCCTCATCTTCATCAGTCTCACAGTCATTCAGCCCATAAAGGTTGCTATCCTCTTCTGGATCATCGCATTTCCTCAAACCGAAATAGATGCATAACTTCTCCCATTCCTTAAGCAGGAATAAGAAATATTCGGCAGACTCATTCCTTACCTAAAGAAAATTTGTCTCTTGAGTATTTCTTGCATGAGCCAAAGTAAAGTACAGGGGGGAAATGAGGAAAAAGCAACAGAATATGTGAAAGAGAACACGCTTACCTGCGTTTCTGGATGGTTAAACTTCAAACTGTGACACGCATATTCGTTTAGATCAACCGCCCATCTCTTTAACAAAAAATTAAAGAAACCAAAAGGTTCAGCATTAGAGAGATTAAAATTGGAACATTAGAGAAATTGTTTACGTAAAGAAAAAAGCATCTTACAGTGACAAGATTTAGACCAGACAACTGTGCCCCGAAACACAAGCCGGTTGACATGGCACCACAACCCGAGTATAAGTCCAATAATGTCACCTCTGATCTTTGAGGTTGTGCAACTTGAGAAACTTCTTCCTGGTCTGATTTTACATCAGTTGCTCCATTTGCGTCAATATCGCTAGATATTGTTGAACTATCACTGGCAGCCATCTTGACATCTGCAAAATTGAACATATGTTTACACGAAACGAAGAGTACAGCATAAACATTTTTTTATAATTCGGAAGTTCACGGCCCAACTATATTTCCCAAGAACCAGGAAATCCAGATGAATACCCCTTCTCACACTTGGATTTGAACCCAGGGTAAGAGCATGTTTTGCATGTTCTCTTAACACTAGACATCCAAGCTTGGGTGATTACAGCATATGCACACTTTTATTAGCTAGATTTTTTCCAAATAAGACTTTGAAGATAAACTAAGAAGAACACAAACCTGGTGGTAAAGATACAAAAGTAGAGTAAGGTAGTAAATATCTCATGTTACAATAATAATCAAATGTTTCTCCCGAAGCCATTACTGCCTCTTTACTTGCCTACAAAGGAAAAGACCTGTTGAGTATTTTTGGAAAGCATATGATAACATTAACAAGACAAAATGTAGCAACTAAGTACATACATTTAAAGGAATCATCAAAATTTTCAATTTCTTCAAAAGGCATTCCAATGGATTGGTGTTACGAATCTCCGAAAAAAACACGCGTTTATTATCGATCAGACAAGTATGCTGGTTCCCGATGACCTAAAGGAGAAAGAACAAATACAATCAATTCATAATATTCTTGTTAAAAACTTCATACAATTCAACCTAGAAAAAACAATCCGAATTCTTACAGTATCACAAGCTCTGTAGAACCATTGCGCTGTGAAATACAAAGTCCCATCAACTGACTCGAACATCTCAACAATCTTGCAGATATAAGGCTCCTCACCCTCTCCAGCCTAAACAAAAGCAAAACACTATATTACATCAAGAGAAACATAAACTATATGGAATTAAAATGGGTACCTTTAGCAATCGGTTAAAAAGGAGATAGTTGAAATAAATGTTTTTCCTATAATGTTCTGAAGAGTAATGAGCTCACCTCCACGTGTGCATCGACATAAAGATCGTATGTTTCGCTGTCGTCAACCAATGCCTGCCTAAAATGGCGTTGTGCCTGGATTATATCTTCATTATGGTCTCTGTAACCCAGAAATAGTTAGTTTACAGACATACTTTTAAGGAGAAGTGACAAGCATCATAAAACTTACTCTTTTGTCTTTTTTGACCATGCCAAGAGCTTTTTCTTCTGAAAACCAAAGCCAATGGTTCGAAATCAATTAAGGCATAATAATATCGTTCCATTAACAGATACAGTAAGACCAAAGATTGAGCTTCAAGAGGCATAAACATTTAGAAAAACAAACAGACAAACAACCTGAGCATTTGTTGAAAGCAAATACTGATGTCTGAAAACAAAATTCAGTATCATCATGTTGACTTGAAGCAAACGCAATCAAAATCAGTTCATCAGCTCGCATGACCAGCTCATGGGTCGTTGAATTGCTTCAGTTAAATCAAAGTAATCGCCGCAATATATTCCATCACACCAAAATTTCATCTATTGAAGACTCGTCCGGAAAAAAGGAACAAAATCATCAAAAGAACAGATCATGCCGCGTAAAAGTTACCTTCTCATGGTACCGTTGTGGCCACCTCCTCCTCGCCTCTTCCTCCGGGACAGGCTCTCCGATAAACTTCGCCGTCGCAGCCTCATCGTCGTCTCCATCGGCCCCAACCGACTCGAGACTCTTCTCCTCGGAGTCTGCAGCTCCCAGCCTCTTCTTGGATTCCTTCGGAGCGGAATCTGACACGATTGGAACATCACCAGCCGCCGCTGCCGGAGTTTCATGTTTTGGTCTCTTCGACGGAGCTGTTGAGTCGGAATCCGTGGCCGCCGTCGTAGAAGGATCCCTCCGCTTAGGCCTCATGATCCGTCAGAGAGGACGAAGAAGATCAGTGACGTATTCTCAGAGGCGTTAATGGCGTCGTTTCGGAGAGGGAGTGACAGGAGGAGAGAGAGGGAAATTTATATACGGGGAATAGGGTAAATCCATGCGTGGTAAGAAAGCGCGTGAAATGGGCGGGAGTGTATGTTTTGAAAAGTTTCATGAGTTTTTTTTATAAAAAGAAAAGTTTCATGGTTTTAATTTTTTTATATGTTTAAACAAAAATACAGAAAACATCTATTTTTATCAATTCATTTATTTCTTTTTTAAAATGTTTTAATATATAAACTCTTAAATTAATACATAAATTTTCAAAGTTTTAAAAATAACAAAATTTTATAAATTCTCAATTAAAAAATCATGAATTTTATAAAGATTTTTTAAAATATATTAATGTCTTTCGAAGAAGAATGTTGGTGTGATTCTTCTTTAAAATTAGAGTTGTCAAATGGTATTATATCAAAACTATTTTTACTTTGTTATTTTTACTTCAACAGATATCTTTTTTCGACTGTGACCATATGATTCATGTGACCCAAAATATAGTTTGGTCACATTTTGATTTTATTGATTATATCGTTAAATTTATGGTGATCACACTAATTTATTATGTTCATACTTTGTATATCTTACTAATCATTTGATTAAAACATCATAAATTTAACGACATGAGTAATGAGATCAATATGTGACCACACTGTATTTCAGATCATGTGGGTCACATAGTCACAACTGGAGAAGGGTATACGTTGAAGTAAAAATAGCAAAATAAGGGTATTTTTTATAATGCCCCTTGTCAAATTGTATATCATACCCCGTTAACCCAATCTCTTATGAATTTTATGAATTCGAACCAACAAAAATAAATTAAAATTTAAATGTATTGGGTTATTTTATAAAACCTGAACATAGAGAAAACTTGAAATAGATAGAGAGAAAAGTTTGATGCAATTTTTTGTATTATTCAAAAAATAAAAAAAAAACAACAAAGTTTTATACAATCAATTTGAATGAATCGGATGCTAAACCAAAAATCAAATAAACCGAAAAACTAAACCAAATAAAAACCACAAATCAATAAAATTATATCCCTAAAACTCCAATAAGGAGGTCAAAGAGAACTTTCACCTTGCTTTAGTTAGACTAGTCTGAACCGAGCCAGTCTGTTTGGTATCCTTACATGTAGAGGCTTCAAAAAAATAAGTTTAACATGATCCCTAGCAAATTGGCAATCCAATTCCATAAGCTTAGTCCTTTTATGGAAGACAACATTATTGACAATATGAATTGGAGAAACACTATCACAATATACTGGTTTCTGAAACGAGACATAAAGTTTCTGAAGAACATACAATATCCACAAAAGCTCATATGTAGTATGAATTAAAGCTCGGTATTCAGATTTTGCACTATTTCGAAATATAGTGATCTATTTCTTCGACTTCCAAGATACCAATGCAGAACCGAGGAACAAACAAAATCCGGTAATAGATCTCCTCAAATCAAGACAAATAACCCAACTAGCATCCGAATATGCACTCAAACGAATATCACTATCATCTAAATGAAGCAATCCTTGAAAAAGAGTGTCTTTAATATATCATAGAACTCTAAAGATTGCTTGCAGATGATCAGATCAAAGACTGGAACATATATTGGCTTAGCTTATTAACAACAAAACATATGTCACGTCTTGTAATGTAGAGATATATCAACTTGTCAATAATTAAGCTTCATGCATTGTAATGTAGACACACACTCGCCAGAATTAGATGCAAGTTTCTGACGAAAATCCATCGGTGTTGTTGATAGCTTATATCCAAGCATACCAAAATCTTCTAACAACTCTAGTGTATACTTTCGTTGACAAATTGAGATTCTAGCTTTGGAACGAGTCACTTTCAATCCAAAAAAGTACTGTAAATTGCCAAGATCCTTAGTTTGAAAAGCTTGATGCAAAACAAATTTTACTTCAATTATCAATGTTTCACAATTGCCAGTCACTAAGATATAATCTACATAAACCAACACACACAATAATAGAAGAATTATGTTTTTTTACAAATAAAGAATGATCAGACTTGGATTGAACACAATCTGCTTCAATTAACATATGTAACATCTCAGCATTCCATTACCTTGATTGTTTGTTTGAGTTCATACAAGGACTTTTGTAATCTGTACATATAATCAGATGGGATATTCTCCCCCTTAAGTTTTGCATAACCAAAATGGTAATGTCATGAAGTTCTCTTCGGATAAGTCTCCATTCAAAAAGGCATTAGATACATCAAGTTGATGTAACTCTGAGAAACCGCTAAAACAATAAGAAGATGCACAATAGTCATCTTAGCTAAGGTCTCTAAATAATATATCTCATGCATTTGTGTATAAACTTTAGTCACTGATCTAGTTTTATGTCTTTCAATGGAATCATCTAAATTAAATTTCGTTTTAAACACTCAATTGCAACCAATGGGACACTTACCAATCGGAAAGGGCAAACATACCAAATCTTAGTCTTAGTTAACGCATCAAGTTCACATCGATTTTATGAGTTAAAGTATTTATTTAAAATATTTCAATATTTGAGATATTAATTAGATCAAATTAAACATTTGAGATATTAATTAGATCAAATTAAAAGTTTAGGTATTTATTTGGTATAGTTTACTATGAGATTTTTCCTATTATTTTCTAAAACGATAGTTTATAATTTTGAAAACAGCAAAATGATAGAACTCTTTAAATTCAAACCGTGGTCTAGCCATTTCAATTATTATAACGGTAAATAAATAAAATAATATAATGAATCGATACTGGTTCAATTTAATGGTGGGGAATTTGGTTATTTCGTAATATCGTTATAATGGTTTTGGAAATTTTTAAATATTTTATGTTTTATAAAGAATGCCCAAACATTTTTTTTTTGTTAACGAATCCCCACACATTTTGTTATAATTGTTTTCTTTTAAATTCAATATTTTTGTTCTTTTTCTTAAAATATGATTTCGTTTATACGTGGGATAAAAAACCGTTAACTATTTTTTTTTGTAAAGGTTATTTCTACTAATAATTTATCACATTATGTAGCGAACCCACGGTAAAAAGGCAATTTGTATTAATAATTACTTGCAAGGGCGAGATTCTTTAAACGATGAATCCGTCGAAGATCAACAAAAGATCACGAGTAAACCGGATCTAGGTGTTCTGATACCATTTTATATTTGTAAAAATAATGTTTTAGAGGAAAAAAAATAATTTTGAATTAAGTTTCACTTTTTGAATTTTTTAAACTATGTCATCTACCTATATTAATATTAACTTGTTAGACAAATAAATTCTATTTTATTTCTTCATACGTTTTTTTACAAAATATTCGATCCAAAAAATTACATTAAAATGTGGTCTGATAAATATTTTGTATTAAAATATGTTTAGAAAAGTAGAAATATTAAATATACGTGACGACAAATATTTTGGAGATTAAAATTTATGTTGAAGATTAATTTAGATATCAAAATATTTTGTATGATAAAATAAAAAATATTTTTGTTTGTTGAATTTGGTGGGGGGGAGGGGTATATATTCATATCATATATATATATATATATATGTGTATTAACTATTAAATTCGTTTTGCCATTTAGACATCTTCCAATCTCAGTTCTTGTAGTCTTTCCCGCTTCCTCCCGGGTTTTAACCCTAATAAACCAGTTGGGTCGCATCTATTCCAGGCAGGTACACCACTAAAATTTTTTTTTTTTTTCAATTTTAACCCAGTTTTCGGTTGAAAAAATCCAAAATACCCTTTTCGTTTTATTTTTTGCGACCTTATTACGACTAACATATAACTGATATACAACTAAAAAAAGATAAATGATTTTTTTGCCATCTTTTTTAGAATCGATTGTAACTATATTTAGAATTAATTACGAAGTCGTAATAAAGAAGTTGTTTTCGAATGAATAAATATCGTGTATTCATTAAGGATAATTTTGTCTTTTCAAAGGAAAAAAAATGTGTTATGTTTTTTTAGGTGTACAAGTGAAATAGATGCGACTAAGTGGGTCATTTGAGTTATTTTCCCCTTCCTCCCTCGTCTTCGAGTTAACACGGCCGGCGATGTTCATTCTCCGAGTCCACTCGGTCGACGCCGAGCGGCCAATCTCCGGGGGAGAAGAATTCACCACCTTTAGCTCCGCCTCCCGGAGAGCTCAGTCCGCCGAAAACCCTAAATCGAACCCTAAACTCACCGAACGCAGAGGCGTCGTCCATCTCTACCGCAACTCCGCTCAGAGCTCGCTTCCAAACCCTAATTCCCGATCCACCTCCCTTTTCGTCGTCGCTGTACCAAATTATCTCTCCATCTCTGATTTCGTCGGGTTCTGTGATTCCCACATCGACCATATCTCGGAGATCCTCTTTGTCAGGTTGGGTTGAAAACTTCCATTTTTTTTTTCAAAATCTTTTTGTCTTGTTCCTGATTCTGGGTTTGGTTATGATCGAGAATTCTGATGATTTGATTCATTTGAACATGAAGGGTTGATTTCATTTTGAGTAGCGAGAAGTTTTTTGTTCCGATCATGTGTGTATATTTTTAGAAAACTTTTAGCATTATGTTGACAGGATAAGGAGTGCGTGTAGGTTTATGTTCTAAGTATGCCAGTGAGGAAGAAAGAGTGACGTAGAATATCAGATATAACATAGTATTACTATGTTATATCTGATATAGAAACCTAGGATTTCTATTCTTTGTTGGCAATGTCTGATTATCGTGATGAATTATATAGGAACGATGGGATGGAAGATCGATACAGTGTTCTTGTCACGCTTGCTGACCAATCAGCTGCGAATGCATTTTACGAGAACTTGAACGGAAGACGGTTTGTACCATCCGAGGTATAGAACTAAATAAAGCATTTGGAACATGACACTTGTGATTGTTTTGCTCATTTGCTTGCATGATATTGAGTTTTGTTGGATGTTAGGCCGAGATTTGCCATCTCCTATATGTAATATCGGTGGAATACACAGAATTTGATGAGCTTGCTGGTTGCCCACCCACAGGATTCACCGAGTTACCCACCTGCCCGATATGTCTAGGTGAGCCATCTTCTGCTATATTATTGTCTTAAATCTTCCCGTAGTTTGATTCCTTTCCAAGTATTAATATTTGGTATTCGACTCCGGCAGAGAGATTAGATCCTGACACCAGTGGTGTACTCAGCACCCTCTGTGATCACTCATTTCAGTGCTCTTGCACTTCAAAGTGGACTTACCTGTCTTGTCAGGTGAGCTAGTTCGATATGATTCTTCTTCCACATTCTTTTCCATGCGTTTTTTGTTTGGTTTGTTTGTGGGCTTCGCATTGGCGTAAATGGTCATTCATAATTTGCTTTCGGCTTCAACATTTGCATTTTATTTTCTGGTCCAGTATTTGTCTGATTAGATCCCTTGTTATAACAAACTGCACATTAGACATGTTTAGTTCATTCGAATTTGTATGCAGGTTTGCCAACTGTGTCAACAGCAGAATGAGATACCGAGCTGTTCTATTTGCGGAACAACAGAAAACCTATGGGCATGCCTTGTATGTGGTTTCCTTGGTTGTGGAAGGTAATGGTATGGTTAGCATTTCCATTGATGAGCAAATCCAAGTCTTTTTCATATTGAGTATCTCACAGTAAATATTTTCTTTTTCCCCATTGTAGGTATAAAGAAGGACATTCTATCAGACACTGGAAAGAAACACATCATTGCTATTCACTCGATTCACGAACACAACAAATCTGGGATTATGTTGGTGACGGTTATGTTCATAGATTAAACCAGTCAAAAGTTGATGGAAAGGCGGTGGGGATGAACTCCGGCTGTCTGTCACATGAAGGGCACTGCGGTACCTGCGGGTGTAGTGAAGATACTGGAATCAGCAGAGCCATCTTTGACAGCAAACTTGATTCGGTATCATTTTCTATCTTTGGTTTTTTTTTAATCTTTAAAATTTGCTAATTTCATTGTGACAGAAGTTCCTATTGAGATATTCAACTAATGGCACACTAATAAGGAACAGAAGTCTGCATTTGACTCATTTTGTCACTCAATATCTGTTGAATTTATCAGTAGAATATACCTCCTTTATGCTTTCTGGATTTTGTGTCGTGGTACCACGATGTTTAGTCACACAGAAGATGATCGTTCTTAATACATTTTGGTCTTATGGTTTCTAGCACATGATTCCTCGTCTTATTTAATTCGCCTTCTCTGCATCAGATTGTAAGCGAGTACAATGACCTTCTTGCAAGTCAGCTGGGGGCACAAAGGCAGGCAAGTTTTTCTTCCGTTCTTGTTTCTGATTCCTCTTGTTTCTCATATCAACAAGCTTTGACGGTAAAAAAAGAAGTTCTCATCTTGGTTCTATGCCTCCGTGCACCGGATTCTGTTGATGATACACTTTTACTTTTTTAGTTTATTGGATGCCATCTCTCGGGTGAATGTCTAGCAACCTAGTTATGTATTTAGGGGGATAGATCTCATTTGGAAATTTGTTGGCAAGAATTCCATTTCCCGAGATTCTGAACTTTTGTTTTCTTTCAGTACTATGAATCTCTTATTGTCGAGGCAAGAAGCAAACAGGATAGTACCATCTCGGAGGCAGTAGAGATGGCCGTTGTTGCCAAATTGGAAGAACTACAAAGAAACATCGAAAAATGTGAAGAGGAGAAAAATACCGTTGCTGAGGTGAACCCATATGCTTCCTGTCTCTCCCGTTGAGTTTCGGTGGTCGTTTCTCTGTTTTCAGGCTCCTTAGGCAATGCCCTTATTTCAGGTCAATAGAAAACTTATAAAGGAGCAAGACATTTGGAAGAAGGCGGCCAAAGAAATAGAAGAGAGGTACATAACCTTTGTTGATTCTTTCCTAATCGATCTTTGGCATAGGTTTTGAAGCAAGATTCGAGCTTTCGTATCCATAACGTGTTCGAGAGTGTTTGTTACCGATACTTGTTTTTGCTGCCCGGCTAAGGCTCTCGGAATTTGTTGGTTTCTTCAGGGAAGTAGCGTTGCTGAGATCAAAAGACGAGACCATACTTGATCTCGAAGAGCAGGTAAAAGGTTCTAACTGTTTTGTCTTAAGATCTAAGTCTTGTGAAGACACATACACGTGTGTTCAAGTAGTGTTTATGTTTTGTACAGATTAGAGACATAAGGATTTTCATTGAAGCCCAGAAAACCCTCAAGAACATGCCAGATTCCGACGGGATCCGTGAAGGAACCGTCTTACCGATCCCTCGCAACGAGTCGTCTGCCTCGTCTAGGAAGCAAAAGAAGTCGGGTCGGAGAAGGAATTGAACTGTTCCAGGAACTTGTAAAAGAACAGGCATGTCATTAGATGAGGTTATTGTTTTCAGTTCTGAAATAATTTTCATTGATAACGAGACCTAGAATCATACACGCTCGTATTTAAATAGAACTAGGGGTGATATTCCAAACCCGAGGTATTAGAGATAGTTTCAATTTGTTTAATAAATAAATAAGTGAATCGATCTAAAATCGAATTTGCCGATTTTTTTTTAAATGAATCTTTTTATCAATAAAATCGAAATAATTGAAATTAGTTAGAATTGAATGGTTATTATTTTTCAAATGATCAAATTCGAATATAACCAAATCATATTCGAACCGAAAACCTTACGTTTTGTTCATCTCCTCGTAAGACCAATGCCAATCGTACTATTGGGGTTGTAGAAGGCCCATCGAGGGGCTTCACAATGAAACAATTCACATTTGATACTCTTCAGAGCCGAAACATCATAGATGGGTTCCAGAAGCAAGGGAGGTCAAACCGTCTTCGGTTCGGTTAGGATTTGGACAGCTCGCATTGATTATTAATATAGTATCTTCATTCGCTTGCGTTTGGATTTGTTTTGGTTCCTCTCAGATATTCTTTTAAAAAAATTAAAAATAAATGTGATTTACTGGATGACTAAACCGAATGCATTGCCTGATTCATTGATCTTAACCGGAATGAGAAGCTTAATTGGTTGCAGAAAACCGGTATAACCGTAAAACCAAGAACCGGTCTTACAGTTGAAACAACAGAGATTGCTTTGGTTGCGAAGGAACACGTACAGACACAAGAGAAGCCTGTTCAAACACACCTTAAAAGACTCTGTCGCCAAAAAAAAAAAAACACACAAAAACCTCAAGAACAAGGTTGTGTCGATGGCTGTGAAGATCTGATCCCTCAAAGCCATTGCCAAAGTCACCAAAAACAAGATTCTGTCCAAACGCAAATGCAAATGCAAACGCAGTCTTAACGCGATCTGTCCATGAACGCACCAGCGTCCACCGGAGCAAGACGATAGTCTCCTCTCTTTTGGCTCGAGACTGTGTTTCCGCCGGGGGGGAAAAAGGTTGGTAACAGGTTTCTAGCTAGAGAAATCCTGCTAAAAAAGGGAAAGATCGAGTACAGATCTTCCCGAAAACCCCGATGGGAAACAACGGTCACGAGCTAAAACTTTCCTTTGTGGATGCGGGTAGTTGGATGCAAGGAGAACATACCCGAGAACGTACAAAGAAAAACCCGAGATTTACGAGAGAATATCACACCTCCATAGACTTTCCACGAGCCGCTGAACAGTCTCGTTGGTAATGGAATCACAACCTCGGATATTCAAACCAAGAAGGGTCCTGCCCAGTTTCTTCAAGGACACGAGGCTCTTGTTCGATACCTCGGAACAACCTGACACAGACAGAACTTGAAGGTTTAACCTTTTCTCGGCTCGAGATAGAGAAGCGATACCAGAATCGGTTATCCCGCACTTTGACACATCCAGATCCCTTAGAAACATGCAATTCTCTGCCATGGCTGATAGGCTTGAATCCGTGATCCTTCTGCAACCATTGAGATTGAGGACCTCGAGGGTTCCGCCCTGTAACTTGGCCAAGGAGTAGACAACTCCGTCGGTCAAGTTGAAGCAGCTAGTTAGATTCACCGTGACAAGTCCGGCCCTGTTGTTTTCTATAAGCGGGAGAAGCCCGGCATCCGTTGTCCCGTAAAGACCGCTGAGATCTAGATGCTGAAGGTTTGGACAAAGCTTCCCGAGATTAGCAAGCCCGCCATTACCAAATCCAGGACAGCTTTGTACAGACAAGGATCTCAGAGAGTTACAAGGATACAAATCTGATGATTTGAAGGCGAGATCCCTTATCCCTGTACACCTCAGAAGAGAAAGAAACTTCAATTTCCCTCCACAACTAGAAAGAACGCCGCAAATTCCCGACTGACCAATCCCATTGCACTCCTCCAGTTTCAGGGTCTCGAGAGATCCCATGGCCTTTGAAAACGCCACCAATCCATTGTCGGAGATGAAGCCACACTTGCGAAGGCAGACCTGCTTTAGGGTTATGCAACATTTCCCCAAAGCTTCGAGGCTCAGATCCGTAACTCCTCGACAAGAAGTAACTCCCAAAGACACCAACTTATGCAAACCCCGAGCATTTCCCATGACCCAGAAGCCTCTTTCAGTAACATTCAGGAGATTACTTAGCATGAGGCTGGTGATGGACTTCCCGTAGTGCCCAATAACAGCGAGAGAGAAATCTGTGATGCTCAGACCGTGGAGATTAACCTTGGAAAGGACAGGTGAAGCAGAGGAAATTAGGCTTGATATGCCGTGATCACCAACAAGTGGGCAGTCTTTGACAGTGATAGACTCTAACTTGGGGCAGTACCTTCCAATAGCTAGCAAGGCCTCGTTTCCTATTCTCGGGCACGACTCGAGTTTCAAAGTAGTTAGATTTGGGCAGTTCTGGGCAACAGAGATCAACCCTTTGCTAGTGACTGAAGGGCAGTGGGAAAGATCAAGCTTCTCAAGCAAATGACACTCTTTAGCTACTTCAGGAAGACCTTTGTCCCCAACATGAGGCACGTTCCATAAGGAAAGGGCTCTCAATGAAGTGCACGAACGAGCAACTGCTGAAACTCCAAAGTTCGAGGCCATGGAGCTTCCCGTGATTGAGAGCTTCACAAGACCATTACAGAGATTTCTTCCAACAGCAAGACCAAAAAGCGTCATATCTGTTGCCTTTTTCCCTTCCAAGCACCTTACTCGGCTTCCATCATCATCATCTTCACTCAGAACCATGTCCACATCGTTACAGGCGGAGAATTCAGACAGCCGCATAGAAGTCAGAACGTTAAGCCAGCGTTTGGATACACACAAAGACAAACACCGTTCTTTGACTCTGGGGAGGCGTCTCAGGATCTCGAAGAGGCACTCATCGGGGAGAATTTCGATAGATTGCTGCTCGGAAACCTCGGTTTCTGATTCAACAGAGAGAACTGAGGAACTAATACGAGCCCTTTTGTTTGGAGGGTAATAATATACACCCGCATTGTCACCAGTGTAAAGCAATTTGCCCAAATTCAACTGAGTTTTACAAATGGAACCCCCGGCATTGTGGAGTTCACCAGTTCCTGCAAATTTTGGCCAGAAGAGAGAGCCATTATAAGCTAAGATCCTCGTTCTCACATCTAAGAACCCTAATTTTACAAAAAACTGAACTGCCAACATCATCATCATTCCACTGAAATCAGGAAACCTAAATTTATATTCACCCATAAACAGATCAACCAACGAGGAATCGAACTACCCATTTCTCGACCCCAAATCTAAATTAGGGAAAATTAACAGAACACGGTGAAGAAGAACAAGAACTCACCGCAATAATTCGCAAGAGCAGGCATGTCGAAACACTCTTGGAACAACACAAACCAACAACAAAGAGACCTGATTCAACCCTTGTAAGAGAGAAAATGCATAACACAAATCCGTTCCCAAAACCCTAAAGAAATCTAGGGCAAAAACAGGGATTAGAAAAAAGGAAAAAAAGGAATCAGATGAATTTTTCTGGGTTTTGAAGATCTTGCATCAGTAACACCGAACAGTCATATATATATATATATATATATATATATATATATATATAAAGGGTAAAACTTTTCTTCTTCCTTTTTTTTGGGGGGGGGGACATTATGACTTCATCATTGATGGCTTTTGCATTATAAACAAGATGGGTGGCATACTATATATAACTGCACAAGGCTTCTCTGTGTAAGCGCGAGGGTCCCTCCAAGAATTTAATCTCTCTCTCTCTCTCTCTCTCTCTCTCTCTCTCTCTGCCCCTTTTTATACAGAGTTTAATTCGAAACGATTAGCCTTCGTCGCTAATGGCATGCTTAGAAATGTACAACTCCAATGGCGGGGGTTCCCTTAG